GGGGCCGGGACGGGGGGGCAGCAGTCTTAGGAGAGAACCTCAGACTTCTGTCTCCCCAGACACTTCCTCCAGCTTCTCCGGGGGGATTCCGAATGTTCTCAGGCCAGCCGTGAGGCATAGTCCCTCCAGCGTGTCCTAGGTCTTCCTCAAGGCCTCCTCCTGGAACACCTCCCTAGGCAGGGGTCCAGGAGCCATCTGAAACAGATGCCTGAGCCACCTCAGCTGACTTCTCTCGATGTGGAGGAGCAGCAGCTCTACTCCGAGCTCCTCCCGAGTGTCAGAGCTCACTCTATTCATACGAGAGCGCCCTGCCACCCTTCGAAGGAAACTTTTTTCGCCCGCTTGTCTCCAAGATCTTGTCCTTTTGGTCATGACCCGAAACTCATGACCATAGGTGAGAGAAGGAACGTAGATTGACTGGTAAATCGAAAGTTTTGCCTTTCGGCTCAGCTCCTTCTTTACCACAACGGACCGGTACATCGACCGCATTACTGCTGCCGCTGCACCAATCCGCCTGTCAATCTCACGTTCCATCCTTCCCTCACTCATGAACAAAACCCCAAGATGCTTGAACTCCTCCACCTGGGGTAAGGACTTTACTCTAACCTGGAGATGACATTTTTAATGAATTAAGTAGATCGACACCTGACCATCATAAATCAATAAAGAAAATCTTATTCTGAATCCGCTTGTTAAGTCGTGATGTATGGGCTACTGTTTGCGGGTACATGCGGGTGATTTGAATTGAGAAAATATTCGTTTATGGCCACTTTTTAGTCATATCACACCTTAAAGTGAATTTTATATGAAATCATAGTGTACACATCTAGGGCCCTATCATACACCCGGCGCAGTGTGGCGCAAGGCGGGGCGCAATAGTCTTTTGGTAGTTTCAGCTTGGCGTTCAGCTTTTGAGGCGTTGCGCTACGCTGTTTAAATAGCAAATGCATTAGTGCTCAATTGTGCAGCCATAGGCGTTCTGGTCTAAAAAGGAAGGCGTTCTGAGGCGGACCGCTGGCGCGTTGCTATTTTGAGAAACTATAATAGATTTTTCATTAGACCAAAACTAACCCGGTCTAAACTCCAGTGCAGAGTTGCGCCTCGCTTACGCACTGCTTAATACACATAAGAGAGCAATAGGCAAATATCTTTACATATGAAAAAAATTAAATATTAAGGATATATATAGGATATAAGAATATATGGAGAATATAAATATAAAGGATTAAAATATTACAAAACATATTATTTTCTAGCCTACATAAATATGAAAAATCACTGCTTTTATGTCTTCTTCATCTCGGGAGGCTTTTTCAGTTCATTCATAACAATTTGCTTTTGTATAATGTTATTATTATTAGCAGTATTATTTATTATACCCATATTTATATTTGTTTTATTAAAAACAAGCTTAGATTTGCCCACCTGTCAGGTTTTAGACCATATGGGGCACAGCATGTGTTTTAGGATATAACTCAGGTTTTTGACCACACTTCGTTATTATTATTCATTTATTCGTTTGCTGGAAATTAGAACTGAATTTAGAAATAGTTTTAAACTAATATTTGCGCTTAACAAGCAAAAGTATTTATTTATAGACTAATTGATGTCTGTGCGTAAAGGTTTCCCTATCGAAGAGCGAATGTGAAAGTAGTTCCATTATCTCTCATTCTCACGCAGTAGATGCTCTGTTTAACAGTTTTCTGTTAAAAAACTGTTAACTGTTAACTGTTTGTTAGTGAAATGCTCATTTTTTCCACTTAGACTTACTTTGCATCCTGTAAATAGTGGATGCGCTCTTGGTGCGACGCAGCTGACTCTTAAAGGGAATGGGAGATGAAACTCTAATTGGTTTATTCTCAAAACACACCTATAACTCATTAAGAAAATAAACTCAACTCTTTTAGACCATGCGCCACGGCGCAAGGCAGATTTCCCGTCCTTAAATTAGCAAAAACGCGTCCTGACACGCCCTGAAAGCGTTTGCGCCCTGCGTTTTGCGCTTTGCGCATGGACCGTCAAAATAGAGCCCCTAGACTTTCTGCATCACAAATACCAAAATTTTAATAATTCGTAAAAAAATGGCAAGCAACATATTATACAAAAAGAAAACACTTGAACATGAATCGTGTCTGTGATTGAAGAATTTGCTGTAAATGTCAATCTAGTGTATCACACGCTGCAAAGATGATCAAGAATTTGTTTTTTTCTGCCCGCCGGCTATGAGAGGAATCTTGTCAGCCTTTGTAACAACAGACATGCAGGATGACCTTAATCTAAGCTCAGCTCAGGGCTTTAATAACTATCCACCTATTCAGATAGGAAAGATTGACATCTTTTCCAAGACCAGCATAGATTCAGCTTTGAATCTTCTCTCTCTCTCACTGCTGTCTGTGCTCAATCGTGACTGTTCTCGTGTGCTACATGCATGTGAGGATAAGGTCAGTAGTTTTCCATTATTCAGTGCTGCTTGGTACCGGTATACCAAGAAAGCAATTGTCTATTACGTACAGTTAGAGATGAGTCTAAAATGGAGGAGGAATATCACTTTACCCTTATAACTATTCAAATAAATTCCAAGACGCATATTAAAATATGTTAAAATCTGCAAATGAAGAATTTAGATGCAAAAACCTCTAAGTGCCATCTGAAATTTTCTTCTAAAATTTGCATTTTTCTCAGCCTCCTATGTTTATGCTTGGTTATTTCACATTAAAGGCAATGTAAATAGCTGATTCTATATTATAAAAGTGAAAAGACCAAACATACACGTTTTCGAAGAACATTTCAGATGGCATGTAAAGCTTTTTTTGCCTCCGAACTCTTCAGATAGGGTTCTCAATATATTAAACATGTAAAATATATGACTTATTGAGCATTTTCCTTATCTGCAGTGGATTTGATTTAGAGCTGAACAAGAACAGGTTAGAGGTCGCCATGGAAACCTGTGCCAAATGCAGAAGGGGCGTGATGTTGGGGTGAGAACTCTGACTCTAGCGCAAACAAATTTGTTATCAAGACGAGCATACAGTAATATCCATGTGAGCAGAATAAAGCAGAACTGATATAATCCATTAGGTCTTTGTTAATAAGCAGATTTGCAAGATCAAGATAAACAAGCTTGTTGTTCGTCCATGAGAGATTAGAGAGTCTGCTTTTACAGGAATAAGGCAGTGATAGTTCAGTGATCAGATGGTAATAACATGATATTTTGTATATTTTTCCACAATTTCTGTTTAGCGGAAAGATTTTTTTCAACATTTTTCTTTACATAATAGTTTTATTATCTGTAATGATGTTGAATAACTGATTTATTTTGTCTTTGGAATGATGACAGTATGTCATATTTTAATAGATATTTGTCAAGATGTTAATATTCAGCTTAAAGTGACATTTAAAGGCTTAACTAGGTTATTTAGGCAAGTTAGGGTAATTAGGCAAGTCATTGCATTAGGATGGTTTGTTCTGTGGACCAGGGGTTCTCAACCTTTTTAACTTTGGGGCCCATTTCTTTCTCCAATATATTTTTGAAGGCCCTCCTCAGTCTGACATTTCCTTTAAAATGTTTGTATGAAATGCTCATTTAAATCTGTATTTATTAACATATAACATAATATTTATATTTAATCTATAATATATATAATATAATGTATTTTATTCTTTTCTATTATCAGCATTTTATAAAAAATATATGTAATTTTATTTAAAATTAATTTTAAATAAAACGAAAACTATATATATATATATATATATATATATATATATATATATATATATATATATATATATACATATAGATATAGTTTTATTTATATATATATATATATATATATATATATATTTACATATAAATTCTAGAAATATATAATTATATTTCACCCATATATATATATATATATATATATATATATATATATATATATATATATATATATATATATATATATGTATATATCTCACACACATTTTAAAGAAAATGTCAGACAGAGGGGGGCCTACACATATATATATGAAAAAAAAAAGCGCCCCATAGATATATATATATATATATCTATATATATATATATATATATATATATATATATATATATATATATA